GAGAAAAAAGAAAAAAAAACCCCCCCCCCCCCCCCCTTCCCAAAAAAAAAAAAAAAAAAAAAAACATGAACTAAAAGCTGCAAGTTGGCTACCCTGAGATGCGGATCGACACTTTCACCCGCGACCATCTGTCTGCTTGCGCTTGGATCCACCCAAAAAACACCACCAAAAAAAAGACAAAAGAAAGAAGAGCAAGAAAAATGCGGGGGTCTCTTTAATTAATGCTCTGAGCGCTTTAGTGATGTGCAACAAATAGCCAGCGACAGTAGAAGAACCGGATTTCCACAATCAGGTCACCTCCAGTCAGCAGAGACGACGGGAGCTTCGCTTAAACGACAGCCAATCGGAGACGGCCATGAAAAATGCAAAAGCAGCTTGGAGGGGAGAAAAAAATAAAAAGAAAAATCTCTTTTTTTGATGGCGAGCGGATGAGGACCATCCGGAGTGACATCCGCAATGATGGACCTTGACAACACCGAGAGGCGCGTACCATTTCGGGATTCGCAACCCTCAGTCTAAGTACACCAACGTTAGGTTCACTCAAGGCTCCAAATTATCTTTGAACTTAAAAAAAAAAAAAAAAAAAGCAGGAACGGGATGTCAGTAATGAGTGGAAGAAAAACATAGCAAAATAGGTAGAACTATAAATCGGAGCGTTATCAGGGTCAGTGTGTGATCTGTGAACAAACATGATTGTACATTATAGCACAGCGTCATAATGATAAAGCAAAGGATGACGATGATGTGCCTTACATCCCCCATCACTGCAACATGGCGAGAAAGATTGTACAAGCAAAGACTTGCAGCACAAGCTTCATGTCGAAAGAATGTCAATAAGTACCAAAGAAGCAGCAGATACCGAACGTGGAAAGTACATTGCGACAACAGTACTTAGGGCTACTTCGAAACAGAATGCCACAAAACCAAAAACAGTTAAATAACAAAGCTGACTTTTTTTTTTTATTCCTTCTGCTTCATGATCTCAGGCACGTTTAAGTGAAGAGAACCATGTAAAAACAAAAACCCAATAATAAATACATCATTTTTACTGAGCAAGTCTTGTTTCAGAATAGCAGTCTATTAAGCCATCCATCCCCTTTCCTTGAAGCCGATCCGAGCCGACTTTGGGCCACGGACAACAACAGTTCCAATTCAATAGATAGCCTGCCGATAACTTTTGAAAACTATATTCAGCTATATTTGTCCTTTTTTGCTCTTGATTATCAATTACTCACTGGCTTCTGGTTGTGTCACATTTGCTTTCGAGCAAGCAATTGTACAACCACTTAGGTGTTGTGTTTATTATTTTACTTTGTTAACTGTTTTGTTAAGCGCTTTGTTACAGCTGCCTCTCACTGTTCACTGACATGGCAATCAGCGTGTGTGTGTGTGTGTGTGTGTGTGTGTGTGTGTGTGTGTATTCTGTAAATTTCTTTGAGTAAGCCACTGTTGTGAATCGGCACTATATACATAAATATGATTTGACAATGTGAAAGCAATGTGGGTCGGAATCAAGGGCTTATGTGGTTCCCAGGCCATACTTTGCCCACACCATCACGAGCTTATTTGATTCATATGAGTCAGTCTTACCTCCTTCACATTTGGCATGGGGTTAAATCCACACTGGTTGCATACAGTGCTCCTGCATTCAGTGCAGGTGCTATAGTTTGGGGGGTCCTTGGAGCCCACGTTGAGCACTATCTGACAAAGAGGACAAGATGATTGGCCTTTTTTGGGAGGGTGCCCAGGTGATTGCGGAGGGTCTGATGGAGAACGTCCTCGAGGAGGAACCCTGGCCTGCTCCGGCTGTAGTTTCTTCTCCTGGACGGCAGCAGGTTTGGTCTGCACTTTGGGTGAAACCGGCGGTGTGGTTTTGGGCTCATCCTGAACCGCCGAGGTTATCAATGTTGATGCAGAGCTGAAAATGGAAGAACCGAATCCAAACATTTTGCCAGTCACCGTTTCCTCAGGCTTTGCTGTTTTAGTATTGGCTGCTGCTGGACCGCTTCTCTCTGGGTGCGGTTTCTGAGAGTCTGTCCCGACATGCTTGGGACTTGCTTGGCCTGTGGGAGCTTCACTTTTGGCTGCTGGTATATTTTGCTTCCTGTTGGTTGAACCTGATGCAGCAGGCGATGGCATTCTAGAGGGGGATGGTGTTGGCTTTTTGATCGGGGGTCCTTCAGCTCTCTTTATCTGGCAGGTGAGACAAAGCCACTCGGATGCCTGGAGACAGATACAGATATTAGTAAAAAAATATACACGCGCACCTTAAAATCCAGCGCGCCTTGTGTATGGTCATTACGGTAATGCGTCGACCCCAAGATGGCTCCTTGCTGGAGACATGCTTACAATGTTATAACTTGCTTTTGGTTCAGTGAACTGTGTCGCTGCTTTATTAAATAAGTTTTTGTTGCAGCTCCGAAAAAAGGAGAGCGGTGGTGTTGTTTTTTCAAAACGCACATTTTATGAATGGTTTTCACAGTCTCAACAAAGACAGGTACATCTTTGTCTGTCTCTGTGACTTCTCTTCTTCCGTTCGACTCGAGAGGCGTTCATGACCACCTTGGAAAAACGTAAATTAACTATTCCTTCAATGAAACTACGAAAATTGAAAATAATGCATCAAAACTGAAAATCAAGCGAGGAAATCACAAAATAAACTCTCGAGCCCCACTACAGAATTTATTTTGTGTATATATATATATATATATATATATATATATACACACACACACAAAAATTAAGATGAAATGCTTTGCAGTAAATTCTAATTGGGCCATAGTTATCAGCCTTGGTTACTATGGCCCAGTTAGAAATTAGAAAATGTACCTCAACATTGCAAAAAGTGAGGTCATGCTGGCCATCGGGAATTTGGAGAAAATGTGTTGATTTTCCAGAACGGACGGTCTCCAGCCAAAAGACAGCTGCATGCCAGCGCCCACATAATCTCTACCCCCATCACCGTTTTACTTAGTGTAACGTCCACCGTAGGACACGCACTCCACCACGTCGATAACCACAATGTGATAGCGTCATTTTGTGATTAATCAAAATAAAACTGCAAACAATTGGGAAATGACATGCAACATTTTGTCCTATTTTTGACTTGTTATGGACCAAACAAGTAATTTCATCATAATCAACTTATGTTTTGGCGTTTACCACCAGTTTGAAATAATGTCCCGTTTTTGATGAATGGGTCATGTTTTGTTTTCTTTAAATGTTATCTGATCCATTGATTAATCAACAAAATGATCGACAGATGAATGATCGTAGTCAACTATAATCATTAGTTGCAGCCCTCGTATTATGTAACTACAACACACTCTACAGTTTGTTGTCCATCCATCCATTTTCTGATCCACTTAGCCTCACGGGGGTCGCGGGTGTGCTGGAGCCTATCCCAGCTGTTTTTGGGAAGTATATGGGGGACATCCTTAACTGGTTGCCAGGCAATTGCAGGGCACACATAGATGGACAACCGCGCTCACACTCACACCTTGGGACAATTTTGAGTGTTTGATTTAACCTGACACGGATGGGGTTTTTTCTCTCAGTAAAGCTCAGGAAAAGTTGGGAAACACTGGTCTGTTGGACAGTTAATTTTCTGCAAAGGTGTTGACTGTATTTGTACATACAATACTTACATCGGCGTCAGGAGGGCTGAAGCCACACAGGTTGCAAACTTGGGTTTTGCACTGCGTGCATGTTTTATGGTTTGGTGCTTCCTTGGTGTGCACATTGAGTTTGGTCGTGTTGCAAACGGGACAAATTGAAGACCCTCGCGTGAGTTCTGGTGTGGCGGCACCTTTTGGTCCTTGCTGCTGGGCCACCTGGAGTGCGCCTATCTTGGACGAGGCCTGCTGCGGGGCGGCTTTGCGGGGATTCTGTTGTGGGGAGGTTTTAGGTGTTCCTTGTTGTTGTGGGGATGGTTTAGGTGATCCCAAGTGTTGCTGTGATGTTTTCTGTGGTGCCGATTCTTGCCGGGACGGTTTAGGGGACATATGTTGTTGCTGAGACTGTTTAGGGGACCCCTGCGGTTGCAGGGGCGGTTTAGGTGTTCCCTGTTGTTGTGAAGACAGTTTCGGTGGCCCTGATTGTTGCTGAGATGGTTTCTGTGGAACTGATTGTTGCTGAGACAGTTTAGGAGATCCCTGTTGCTGCTGTTGCTGTACAACCTTCGCTGTTTCTCGCTGGGACTCTTGCATTTTGATCCCTGCATGAGCCTGCGGTGAACCTCCAGGCTTGGATGCACCCTGTTGCTGCAAACTTTTCTGTTGACCTTCAGGCTGTTTCAGGGGCCCCGTCTGTCCATTGCCGTGCAATTGCGGCGACCCCTGTTTTGCAGGAAGCTGGCTCTTCTGCACAGGAGCACCCTGGCAGGGTTTTGGGGGTTCTTTTTGTCGTGGCTGGCCTTTTCCTGGGTTTACATCTGGCTGCTGCTCTCCACTTTTCTGGTTTTTATCCCCATCCCCGTCATCACCAAACAGACCAAACTTGTTGACTGCAGAGGACACGGCACTAAGCGGGTTGGTCCCACTGAGAAATTTAGAGGAAAACATATTGGGATCTTCCTCGTCTTCTTCCTCTTCCGTGTAGGAACTGGAGTCTACTGCAGTGTCTGAGTCAGAGCAGGAGCCACTGTCTGTTTCCTCTCCCGGTGCTCCGGCCGAGGCCTGAGGGGGAGCTGGAATGGGCGCTGAAGAGAGGGCATCGACGGCTCCGCTGCTGCTGGTGCTGCTGCTGCTGCTGCTGCTGCTGCTGCTGCTGCTGCTGCTGCTGCTGCTGCTGCTGCTGCTGCTGCTGCTGCTGCTGCTGCTGCTGCTGCTGCTGCTGCTGCTGCTGCTGCTGCTGCTGCTGCTGCTGCTGCTGCTGCTGCTGCTGCTGCTGCTGCTGCTGACTGGACTCTCCTCTGGCTCAGCATCTACATGAGACTTCCTGGAAAGGGAGGGGGGGAGATGGAGGAGCGGGGGAGGTCACGGTTGACAGGGAACAAGATAAGATGGAGGGATAATGGAAAGGAGGCAAATTAACATCACTTCATTCTCTGTATCCGTGCGTTTGGCTGCATGTTAAGCAACTGAAAACATGAATGTTTCATCAAATGAATACATTAGATTTCTTGGGATTACTTCCAGCAAGGGTGTCAAACTGGAGGTCCATGGGCCACATTGGGACCTTCGTGTCATAATAAAAAATTGTGGCCAGCTTGTGGCTCGTAGTTCGTCGACCCCCATTTGTTGTGAGTAGACTTTACGTAGCCCTACTTGTCGCTGGCATGAAAGGAGGGTTAAGAATGTTACATAAAACGGCAATCTGGGTCATGTTATTTTTCAGTGATGACATTTTGATACCTGTAATGCAGTCTTGACTTTTTTTTTAGCTTGTTACCATTAATTCGTGTAGTTCTAATTAAGTAATTCTCAAAGGGCTTCCTCTAGTGGTACATGAAAAAAAATGCTTACATCCATGCACCTATCCATTTTAAACATGACCTACACAAAAACAAACACATTTTAACAAATGAAAATACTTGATCAATAAATGGCAAGAAATGAAGGGAGTTACAAATTCAGTTAATAATCAAAAAGGTATGTAAGTGTTTCTGAGCAGCCATGCTGAATAGCAATTTAAAAAACATTATTAGTCAGTCGAGGCAGTGATAATAATGTGGTGGCGACGACGAAGATAATCCATAAAAAGCGCGACCAAGCTATTATCATGGTCTCAGTCTGCGAAGAAGTGTGCATCAGGAGAGTAATTTAAAAAACTGAAGGCGATGAGAGTTAGCTAAGTGCAGATCCAAACAGGGGATACTCTGGGAGCACCAATGATGCTGTCGCTAATCGCAGCAAACGGCGTAAACCGGAGAGGAAGTATGACTTGGAGTTTGCAGTTAATTTTTCTTTTTCTTTTGAAATATTCTTTTTATTTTGGAAAATATTCAGTTGTATTTAGCTTTTTGAAGAAATCTTTTAAACATTAATTTAGGTAAACTTGTCATGTAACATTTATAGGCATTATATTTAAATTGGATTGCGATCTAATTTATGATATATATATATATA